AATCGTATAAAATTTCACATACATTATCACTTTTTTCCCAATTTCCAAAATATTGTTCATTGTACGCTAAATAAAGACCATATAAATGGTTAGCAAATTTTAAGGTTTTTTTTGTTAAAATAACTTAAATCATAAAAAAATATTTTCGTTATAAAAGTTAATTATTTGAAATTCATTTGAATTTCGTGCCACAAACCCAAGCTGTTGGCACAAATTTTTAAAAGGTATGTCCATGTCATGTAATATAAAGGCCTCAAAATCAATAATTACTCCAATATTGCATTTTTCGTCATATCTTGAGAATAATTTAACATCATAATCATCATCACAATCCACCCATGACTCATTGTAAGGCTTGAAATCTAATTAATAGTAATATTGATTAAATATTAAAATCTAAAGCACCAGAATCTAAAATATATTATTATTAATTAAATATATGTATGAAAAATATACTTACAACTCATTTTAAATCGTTGAAACTTTTTGATATTTAATACTATAAACTTTTTAAGTCAATGTTAAAAACTTCTGGGTTCTACTGATATTTACACAAAAATTTGAAGTTATAAAAACTTATATTTTCTGTCACCTAAGGCAAAATATATATTCCTAGTGTGTTTTTTCTCACACAGTGAGGGGCATTTCTAGTTACGCTACTATTTTAGTTTTTTCCCAGTCTGAGATATTTCCTGGTCAAGTCATTACACTACTAGATAGTATGAAAAATTAGATCAGTGATATATTTTAGTTTTTCCTGGTCAGGGCTGTTACCCTGTTAGAATGTATAAGAAATGAAATTGAGAAATTTATTTTTGAATTCTTCCCGGTTTTAACCAGTATAATCTGGTCAGAGTTATTAATTATTTCAGTTAAATGTGTCAATTAAAATGTGGCTGCTTTGAACTACTGTTATATATACTGCACTAGGAGACTGCAAAATACAACATCTTTCTTCTCCAATACAACAACTAATCATGTCCGAGGGTGGTAAGTATTATTATTATTATTATTTAAAAATATTTAAAAATAATTTAATAAATATAATATTAATTGTAGACTGTAAATTTGATTTTAATATGAAACAGAGTGTTGGTAAAAAAAGAGGGCCAAAACCTAAAAATACCGAAGATCACGAGTCGAAAAAGCAAAAGTTTGACTTAGACTTATCTGTAGATAGTGCCAAATCCTCGAAAATTCGCCCATTTAAAATCAAAATATGCACTACTGAAACCATGATAATGCAGATTATAGAATTCAGCTCGGTCGTATATATCTCGTTAACAAAAACGAAAAGAAACTATCTGTCTAACGAATATAATATTAATGTTAAAGACTTTTGATTTTATAAGAAGGCCTTCGAAGTAATGAATGAACATTTGGATGAAAATGTTTAATTTTATATTAAGGAAAAACGAGGATATGCTAAAACATATAGAGCGTTTATTTTAGAAAATATTGATCCTGCTGGCTTTTTTGAAAAAATAACGTCTAATGTTTATAATATTTAAAAATATAAANATTTTATTTTATATGAATTTAATTAATTAGGGGGTCAGAAATCGCAATTAAAATCTTAATTTTTTAAAAATATTTAAAAATATATGGCCAGCTAGTATTCACCCTACTCTAAACTCTTGCCCACTAGAGACGTCTATGAGAATGCCCCGGATCCAACTCCAACTGTTCTCAAGGTCATCTAGCTGTGTAAACAATGACTTATCATTGTCAAATTTCACAGAAAGACAAGACAAAGGAAAATAAAATGTAAAGCTTTTCCTTCAAAATTAACGCATTTCTTTCGTTTTTTTAAAGTTTTAAGTATTTTTTACGTTTAACTATAATCGATTAGAAGTTGATCGGGAATAAAGGGGTTAAAGATACAGGTACAGTGAGTTAACAATTTTTAAGTTACGATCCTCCTGCATCAATACATTGCTGCCAGTACTTTATCCAATCATCATATGCCCCTTGAAATTAGGCAACCGCAAGGCTGTTCAGGCACTCTTGTCAAAGCAGCTTGGACTGATTCAATCGTTCCGAACCGATATCCCTTCAGGCTCCTTTTGATCCGAGAAGATAAAAAGAAGTCGCGGCGCCAAATACGGACTTCAGTGTGGTTGAAGATGCGTTGAAACGTTGTGTTTGGCCGGTGTTCCTCTCACAATTAGTAAGGTGTGACTAGTTTCATCGTCGTGATGGAGCATCCAGGTATCGGCGAACTTTCTTCAAACGCGGCAGACCTAAAAAAATATCAGTAGCGGATTTGTTTAATTCAACGCAAAATTTAATGGCAAAACGATGCTCAATGTTTTGCTGAATGTTGCCTTTCAAAGCGAGCACAAACACTTCTACTTTCAGCACGATTTACGCATTCCAAAGGCTTAGTGACAATTGAGCCGGTTCTCATAGCTCATGTGACATCCTTTTCCACCGATTCCACTCATAAAGGCTGTTCTATCCATTCCTATTAAAAGGAAAAAATCAGTCCCGATAATTATTGAGCAAACCCTATTTGTTGGCTAGATTGTTTCTACCAGCTTTTAAACTCTTCTATTAGTGTGTCCAGAAATTTTTATATCAGTCCATTCGCAGTTGGTTCGTTCAATATAATCCTTAAAACAAGGGGTCAATTTTATCGATACACAATCAATTTGTAAACTCTCTCATTCAGCGATAGGGGCTTTTGTAGAGGTAATTGTTAACTTCTTCATTTCCGATCAATTTTTAATTAATTATAATTAAACATAAAATATACTTAAAACTGAAAAAAAANATAAAAGCTATTACTTTTTTAATATATTTATTATAATTTTGCATTTATTTTATATGTTAATAATAATCTTTGTAACTGACAGTCAATGAGATGGATATGCTTGGTGATCCTTTGCAAGATTAACAATATTTGGTTGAAAATTTGTAAGTTTTAGTAGTTTCATCGATTTCCCCTTCAATATTGCCACTTATTTCGACCACTTTGGGAACCTCTACTCTAAACATTTCATACTTTCTCTTTTTATAATAATCAAATGCATGCTTTTGTCTGCTATAGTTTAGACTAAATCAATTTCTCTCAACGACTCTAGTGTTTGTGTTATATCTTTGTTTCTAATGTAACAATGCACGAAGCACCCCCTTATGCTTCGGATCCACATGACCGAAGGGTCGACATTGCGTCGGCAAAGACTGCAATGACTGATTTGTCAGGAGTGACACAACCGAGTTTTTGAGGATAGACAAAGAAACTGTTACATTCGCCTTTACGCGCGTGCAGTCACGTGTGTGAGTGGTTGATTCGGGGTGGAGACCGATTCGGCAAAAAAGTGCACTTTACAATTCGATTATAACAAATAATACCCATTTATTGATTTTATAAACTCGTTACACATATGCTTTAAGCGAGAGAAAGAGTTTACAAACGTTTGCGCATGGTATTTACCTGAAGATAACTTTCTTGATTTAATTTGGGTCCTTTTTCTTGGAACTTGGTATCATTGGCTATCGGCAGTTAGGCTTTTGATCGCTGGCTATTAGAGGAGCTTCGGCGGCAAAGTGTATCCGAGCGTACACACGACGAACCCTCGAGGAGAGGCGAACTCTCTGTCGCATTGTCAGACCTTCTCCGTTATTTGGGGGTCTTCTCCCTTGCAACTTTTGTCGTTTTTTGGAAAAATTGTTCCGCACGTCCATTGGCGATTTTTGCATTTGATTCCTAGTGATAGATTTGATGTGTTACTCCCAAACGAGAAAGCAAGTCAGTGGGAAAGTATATAATAATATTCGTAGCGATCTTTCTTTGTCGAAAAATTTTTGAATAAAATTTTTTATCAAGTCTGGCCGCTCATACTAATGCTTTCTTTTGTCTACTTTGCTACGTCTTCTATAACTGATTTTCCTTTGAAATAATATTTTTCTAACACACCACGTCCTGTATTTCCTCTCTCATGTTCTAGAATTGAGGTTTTCCACGACACTGCATAAGATGAATCAAAGTTCGGGCTTTTTCAAAGATCTCTCTAACCTTTTTCAGAGCTTGAACTTCGTTTAATAAGATGAATGGTAATTTACTCCTCCATCATATTCCTGGTATTGTCCTGTTCTCAAAGTATATAACTTTCTTGACATATCTTTTCATAAAACCTGTAAGTACTGAATCCGTAAGCTTAATCACTTTTTGATTAATTTTCTTTCACAGTTCAGCGTCTTCCCTAAATATAATATTCTCTAACTATATTTAACAAATATACTTGAAATATAAGCTAGTGGATATATTATTGGTCTTTTGTTGGCCCAATAATAGTTAAAACTATCAGATCCGTTCAGATTCCGCTTTTTCTCATCCGAATAGATCAATTTTTGCTACACTTCTCCTTTTTCTAAGTTGTTTCTAGCAACTTGTAATCGAAGTTGTACAGTTTTGATAAAAGAAACACTGTCTGTTGACCTCAAAACATTGTGTGCTGTTGATTTTTGAAGCTCGGCTTCAATTCATTTTTGATTTTTTAAACTGTTGTGTTATTTTAAAGTTCACGTCAAACAATTGCACATAGCTGTCAGGTGTTGTCAGTAATTTTATATATTTAGATTAATGTTGGAGTTTTATTTTTGCTAATAATATATAACTGTTTTGTTTATTAATCATTTTTCTTTAAACTTATGCGATAATTATTGATGTTTTGCAATCAATCGTACAAGAAAATGTCATCATTGTTACATGAAATTAATGAAGAATTTCTAGGAAATCAGTGGATAATCTATTATTGTTGGAAAAACTAAATAGACCAAAATATTTGTCTCTGCTCTTTAAATTAATGTAGGCTTTTTAGCAACGTTTTCATCAGGATGTAATAATTAATTTAAAAATCAGTATACTTAGAAGCATTAATCTGATTTTCTTAGAATGTATTTATTATTACACTGCATCTGGATTATTCCTATTAAAACTGTATTTTTATGTTTGTACTAATAGAAATACAATAATTAAGAAAGATCAATCTTACCTTGCTAAATTAATTCTTGCTTTCTGCCCACCGCTCACCATGACACCTCGTTCTCCTACGATTGTCTGATCTCCTTTCGGAAATAATCTAATATCCTACAATAAATAAATAAATAAATGCTAGACGTTTAAATGAATTTCTTTACAAGTCACGTTTAGTTTGAATAAAATTTTCATTGCATACGCTATTTAAACTATAAATGACTTATAAAAAAAATTCATTGAAACGTTAGAGAAGATAAATTAATAGCTAGGTTGAGGCCGAAGTTTCAAACGCGAAAACGTGTACTTCGGACGTTCAGAGCCTCTTTCCTATTAGCCTAAAAGTTTGACAATGGTGTTTGGAATGTCAAGCATGATTCCATTGACTATACAAACACCATTGTTAAACTTGTAGTCTTATACAGGAAAGCGGCACTGAACGGCCGATGTACACGTTTTCGCATTTAAAACATTGGCCTGAACCTCTCTAATTACAAGTATTAGAAATAGTCATTAACAAACATTCGTTTTCATAGAAGTTAGCGCAGCAAGGAGTTGTCAAAATGGAATAAAATTGTACGTTGTGAATGCAATAGAGACATACGTAAGTGATTACAAAATGAAAGCAAAAGAAACATTTATTGTAGGAAAACGTACAAACGAAAAATGTTATAATTAGTACACTGTTAGGCCACCTCAAGCGTGAATACACTCTGTGATGCAGGCAGGCATATAGGATTACGAGTGCTGCGTGATGTTTGGCAGTATCTCGGTCGCCATTTCTTGCAAATAATTTTCTCATTTCGTCAAATTCTGCACACTTTAATATTGCATTCCATTAGATTCCAGAGATGTTCAATCGGTGAAAAATCACGGGATCGTGCATGCCAGAAAAGTGTGGAATATGGCAAAGGCGGTCCATTGACACTATTGCTGTGTGTGTTCGAAAATTTTACTGTTGGAAAATAGCTCTTGGGAGCTCTGTCCTAAGAGACAACAATGTGGCTGCAGAATGTCACAAATATACTGCAGGGTTGTGATGGTCTCTTGAATCGCTACTAGAAGTGGCTGGCTGTCATGACACCCCAGACTATCATACCAGTTGTGGAGCAATGTGCTGCACAAAATGTAGGCAGGATTAAGGAGTTCAACATATGACCTGCAGACATAAACACGGCTGTCATCAGTGCTGAAATTGAAACTAAGTTCAGTGCAGTAGACAACCAATAGGTTGGTGTCAAGCTCAATTCATGTCATAGTAGCCGTAATACCAAATGTTTCTTATCCTGGTGACAAATATCCAAATTTATCATTTTATAATGACAAATTTGTAAAAAATTTGTTAAACACCATTTGTATTTAGCACGTCCACATGTTATAATGTGTAATAAATGCTTTAATTCAATGAAAAAAAAAATAATAAAAATATTTAAAATGTAAAAAAATTATTTATTTTTTAAAACATTGTCACAAAATACATTGTTAAAAGTAAAAAAAAAAAACATAAATTAAAAAGTCATATAATTATATTTACCAATTTTTATATAATAATAAAATATATTTACCATGTTAGATCATGTATGCTTTGTAGGAACAAACATCACACAAGCTGCAATGTTGTACAAACCGGGTATGTTTTTGACAAATTTTTCCTAACATTAAAGCATTTGAAGGTAAACATTTATACAAAAAAATTTTATGATGGATGGGACTTTCCTTATTCTGGTTCTTTGAGACTCCGCAGTAATGAAGGAATTTTTTAGTGTGGACAAGACATGGAACTCGAATTTTTGAACATTTTGGCACCGCTTGCTCTTCCAGATTAAAATAGGAAATATAAACATTGTATATTTCCGAAGTTAAATTTAAATAATTTTTTTAATTTCCCCTCCTATATAATAAAAGATTTTATATTTTAAAAATAAATCGTATAAAATTTCACATACATTATCACTTTTTTCCCAATTTCCAAAATATTGTTCATTGTACGCTAAATAAAGACCATATAAATGGTTAGCAAATTTTAAGGTTTTTTTTGTTAAAATAACTTAAATCATAAAAAAATATTTTCGTTATAAAAGTTAATTATTTGAAATTCATTTGAATTTCGTGCCACAAACCCAAGCTGTTGGCACAAATTTTTAAAAGGTATGTCCATGTCATGTAATATAAAGGCCTCAAAATCAATAATTACTCCAATATTGCATTTTTCGTCATATCTTGAGAATAATTTAACATCATAATCATCATCACAATCCACCCATGACTCATTGTAAGGCTTGAAATCTAATTAATAGTAATATTGATTAAATATTAAAATCTAAAGCACCAGAATCTAAAATATATTATTATTAATTAAATATATGTATGAAAAATATACTTACAACTCATTTTAAATCGTTGAAACTTTTTGATATTTAATACTATAAACTTTTTAAGTCAATGTTAAAAACTTCTGGGTTCTACTGATATTTACACAAAAATTTGAAGTTATAAAAACTTATATTTTCTGTCACCTAAGGCAAAATATATATTCCTAGTGTGTTTTTTCTCACACAGTGAGGGGCATTTCTAGTTACGCTACTATTTTAGTTTTTTCCCAGTCTGAGATATTTCCTGGTCAAGTCATTACACTACTAGATAGTATGAAAAATTAGATCAGTGATATATTTTAGTTTTTCCTGGTCAGGGCTGTTACCCTGTTAGAATGTATAAGAAATGAAATTGAGAAATTTATTTTTGAATTCTTCCCGGTTTTAACCAGTATAATCTGGTCAGAGTTATTAATTATTTCAGTTAAATGTGTCAATTAAAATGTGGCTGCTTTGAACTACTGTTATATATACTGCACTAGGAGACTGCAAAATACAACATCTTTCTTCTCCAATACAACAACTAATCATGTCCGAGGGTGGTAAGTATTATTATTATTATTATTTAAAAATATTTAAAAATAATTTAATAAATATAATATTAATTGTAGACTGTAAATTTGATTTTAATATGAAACAGAGTGTTGGTAAAAAAAGAGGTCCGAACCTAAAAATACCGAATATCATGAGTCGAAAAAGCAAAAGTTTGACTTAGACTTATCTGTAGATAGTGCCAAATCCTCGAAAATTCGCCCATTTAAAATCAAAATATGCACTACTGAAACCATGATAATGCAGATTATAGAATTCAGCTCGGTCGTATATATCTCGTTAACAAAAACGAAAAGAAACTATCTGTCTAACGAATATAATATTAATGTTAAAGACTTTTGATTTTATAAGAAGGCCTTCGAAGTAATGAATGAACATTTGGATGAAAATGTTTAATTTTATATTAAGGAAAAACGAGGATATGCTAAAACATATAGAGCGTTTATTTTAGAAAATATTGATCCTGCTGGCTTTTTTGAAAAAATAACGTCTAATGTTTATAATATTTAAAAATATAAAGAGGATGATATTACAGAATATGAAAATGTATATTTTTATAGTCATGTTGAGCAAAAATGAATGCATTTGATACAATTTTAAACCATATTGAAAAGTTTATAAAGTATGGACACTGAAAAAAATTATATTTATAGAGATCAAATAGAATATTAATATTTTTCCAAAACATTTAATTAATAAATGTTGTGTGCTTAAAAATATGTCCAATTTTTCATAATAAATAATAGAATAGCATTATTGATATTCAACAAATCTTTTATAAAGTATAATAATAAATATTTTATTTTCTAAAATTTGTATATTTTAAAAAGTTATCTGGAAATGTAAAAATTCCAAAAAACGCTTCTGTGGGAGCAGCAGGATATGATATATTTTGTGTTAATGGATTTGAAATTAATCTGCATGAACAAAAAGTAATATTTACAGATCTGGCTATAGAAATGCCAAATAACTATTATGCTAGAATTGCCCCAAAATCTTCTTTTTCTCTGAATAACATTATAATTAATGCGGGAGTTATCGATTGTGACTATCGTGGAAACATTGGAGTTTTAATGTATAATTTTGGACCAGAAATTATTATTTTTGAACCTAGAATACCCATTGTGCAATTAATATTTGAAAAAATTATGCATCCAACTTTTTTAGAAACAGATTCAATAGACATCACTGGCAGAAAAGAAAAAGGATTTAGAGAATGTACTGATATTGCCTTTTCCCAAAGAAGAATATTTTGAAGACTGTAACAAAATTTTCTTGTCTCAAAAAGAAGGTCTGGGAGACTGTAACGAAAATTAACTTGTCTGTACTCAATTATTACTTTGTATTATTTTGTGTTGAATTTTAAATCTGTATTTAAATAAACAAATATTATAAAAGAATTGTTTATTTCTTTTTAGACAATTCACAATCTCCAATCAACTGGGAAACGTCCTCACCATTAGAAGAAAATACTATTCGTCATTATTAAAATTATGTTAATTGGGATATCGTTAGTTAACGATGCGATTTCATGTTTATTTCAGAATTTGCAGATAAGTTAAATTGGGAATACATATCGAAAAATTACAAATTCACAGTGTCGTTTACCATACAACATATTGATTAGGCAAAATAGGATTTAATCTGCCAATACGAGCAACTAAATGAACAATTTGTAACCAATTTTTCAGACCATCTTGAGTGGAATAAAGTTGTGGAATTTCAAAGTGTTTCAGACAATTTCGTTGTTATCTTCATGCACGGATTTGATATTTAAAAAATTTTCAAATACCGACAATTAAAAACAAAGACTTTACGCGAAATAGAGGACGACTTAAACTGGAATTTTTTTTCTCGCTAACAAAAACTTGACCAACAATTTATCAACGATTTCCAATGACAACTTTCTTGGTATCACATTATAAAATATCAAAAATTAGATCGAGATTATATTATTCGTAATCACGAAAATATATTGCTGTTACTACTTAAAGAAATACAGGTAACCCTCGTATAACACGGGAGTTACGTTCCAAAAAATTGCCGTGTTATGCGAATCCATGTTGTACAAAAACAAAGAATTAGTGCGAAAAGGGGAGTTAGGTTCCAAAAATTTAAAAACATGCTGTTAAATCTTTATTTAAATCTGATTTATTTTATTTTTTCATAGGTATAATACTTATTATTATT